CTCTAAAGAAGCGTATGGCAAAGATTTCATGAGTGGACAATACTTAGTGATTAACCAATGGATCCTAGAGAACACCCAGTAGAGAACAAGGCATAAATCATGGAGAAAATCATTTAAAGTCCTACCATGGAGAAATGAAATTTAGAGTTTTCTTTTTTCCCTTAACAGCAAGGATAACATTATTATGTTTAGAACAATCTCTACATTCTATAAATATGCCTCATCAGCAAATTTAGACATTTTCCATAAATAATAATAGGATCAAACAAAACTAACACATGGGGTATGATAGTGAGGGAGTCTTAGTGGACATGATAAGATATCATTTAGCAAATATTGAAGGATTAAGCTCAATATTCCCCAACACTAATAAGTGTAAGCTAACAATTTCTCATCATTGTATCAAAATTACTTGATTAAATGATAATTTAAAATCTATTTCCTTAGTGCTAGTAGACATGTGGTAACTAGTTTCTCAACTAGCTTGGGCAAAGATTGATAAAGGGAACTAGTAATATTAATCTTTTGCTATTGTAATAGTAAAAGAAGAATATCTTAAAGGACTCACTAACATATAATTTTTGATACCTATAGTCACATTTATGATAGCTATGTCCAATTTGATAACATCATTCATAATGGAAAGCCCTCTTTTAATGACCAATATCTTTCATTCTCGTTCTCCAAATGTATAATAGGGATAGTGAATAAGTCAAACATGGCTAACCAGTCTAGCTCCCATTTATGGGGGGTTTCAAATGTATAGTAAGGATAGTGAATAAGTTAGGCATGGCTAACCTAAGGCATAGTCTAGCGCTTATTTATGGGGGGTTTCAAATGTATACTAAGGATAATGAATAAGTTAACTTGAGGCATAGTCTAGCTCCTATTTGTGTGTCTGTCTTTGTAGTATTTATATCCTTGCATTAGGTTATTGGTATACTAAAATAGCACTAGACTTTGTTTGACTCTGTTTTGCATATTAGTCTTAGTATTATGATGCTAGATGCTCTAGGACTACTCTAACATCACTCCATGATCATGTCCTTCGCTCCTTAAGCTATACACTTAGGAATCACTCTAGACTCCTATCCCTTTGCTCCTTAACCTATATGATTGGGAGATGTTTCGTGCTCTAGTTTCTTATACTCCTTAGTATATGCTTAGGAATTTAGCTCCATCTCTTCATTCAGTGGCCCAAGGCTCTGAATTTAAGTTCTACCTTGCTGCCATTGGCCCATGTGTCCAAGGGTTAAAGTTCCATTTCATGGTTATTCTATGGTAAACATCATAGAGTAAAAAGTGAAAACCATGTATGCTATAATATTATCCTTGCAAAAGCCCTTTAAATTAAAGGGATATATAACACTTATATATACCCCACAATAAGCCTTGTGTAAGTAGTAAGGATGAGTGTAGGATTGCACTCATTCCCTATGAAATATGATAGTTGCAATTGCATGAGCATATGGAATACTATTCTTTTGCCAATGAACCAAAAACACATCTTTCCAACAAGTCTTATAAACTCAAACATGGTGCTTTGAGTGAATCTTGAATATTCTCATATTAGCTGGACAAATGATGTAGCAATGAGTACAACTACATGGTTAATAATATGAGCTTTAGTAGTATTCACTAAATTAGTGGAAGGTATATCACCCAATCCCTCCAATGCCACAAATAAAAATCTTAGACCCTATCAAAGTCATTACAAAACATGAAAAAAATTCTTATGTAATAATTTACAAAAAAATAAAAACAATACTAGAAGATAAAACTGTAAATCTAGAAAATTTAGAGTTTGATGAATATTTAACAATAATATGAATAACATATGAGCAATATAAAACTACAATAAAATCCACATTAATAAATACAAAAACAATTATAAACAAAAACCAAAAGACAGAAACACAAATACTTTTAATAATAAATTATCAAATTTACAATCAAATGTAAATACACATATAATTCTTGATCCATATGCAATAATCAAATTGTTTATCACATATTGTATGTATTGAAACAGAAATAACAAATCTCCTGTAACCAACCTACACTGGATAAATTATGCAGAATGCTTTATCTTCTTTTGAGATGTTTTTATGAGTATCTAGTTGCATAACGTGTTGGGTTGGGGGTCATTTCTCTTACTGCTAAAATATGTTTAATAATCAATGACTACTAAGTCAGGATGGCCGAGCTGGTCTAAGGAGCTAGTTTCAGGTACTAGTCCGCAAGGGCATGGGTTCGAATCCCATTCCTGACAAAATAGGCAAAGTACTTGATAAAATTACAACCAAAAAGAATTTACAAGAACACACCTAGGGCCTGCAAGCCGTCATGACAATCCCCTCGTCCTTCCCAAACCCCGCCACCACCTTCTTCAATATAAACTCCGTCGTCTGGTGCGCATTCTCCACCGCCTTGGACACCCGGATCCACCTCTCCCCGTGCTTGGGCTCCGCCGCCTTGCACCTCTCCACCACCTCCTGGAGCTGCGCCTCGCTCCCGTGCTGCTGCTCAAACTTGTACAGCAGCGCCCAGAAATCCCCCACGTCCGGAGCAAACGTCACCGCCCTGTTCATCCAGTTCCTCGCCTTCTCCACCTTCCTGTCCTGCCAGAAAAACTTCCCCACCGCCGCGATCACGTATGGATCCTGCTCGCTGTTCTTGATCGCGTCGAAGCTCTTGGTCTTCCTCTGCGCCCGCGGCACCATCTCCACATTCGCGGCCCACAGCAGCCCGCTCTGCCGGCACTCCTGGAGCGCCTTCGCCATGAGCGCGTCCGCCTCCTTCCAGTTCCCGGCCCTCGTCTCCGCCCGGATCGCCGCCAGCCACAGCTCCGGGTTCTCCCTGTTCTTGAGCCTCGCCGTCGTCAGCATCGCTCTTGCCCTGCTGATCCCCCCGACTTTCTCTTCCAGCTGCGCAGCCGAGAGCCACAGCGGAGTACTAGCCGGGCATTTCTCCAGCGCTCTCTCGTACACGCTCCTCGCCGCCTCAAAGTT